CGGCGCCGAGCCCGCGGCGGAGGGAGGGAGGCAGGCGGCGGCCCAGGGGCGATGCGCTCCTCTCCCCCGCCGCGGCGCCGGGCAGGACCGGCCTGAGCCGCGGCGTGCGGCAGTAACGGGGGCTTCCCTTCACGCAGCTCGGATCCATCGAAATACAGCCAGTCAGACAAAGCAGGGAACGCTTCCACCGGTCCTCTATACCAGGACTTTCTCGGAATTGAAATGCCCATCGAAAAGCATCCTAAAATACTGCTACAGAGGGACAGAACTTTGGGCTCACTCTAATGTAAAAGCAACCACCCTGAAACTCCGGCGTCTTGAGCAGCAGAACGTGTTAAGAAAGCTTCATAAGCACAGCATGAAAATCAGCAAGTTTGCCTGTCTCTTATGGGCCCAGAGAAATGACATCAAACCTGGCAAGGCAAATACAGGCACTCTGAAACCACTGAAGAGGCTTATATCTTGATCTCAGGTTAGAATAGGAAGGATCTAATCTAACTCCAGCTACGTTCGATAGCAGAGACTGTAAGGGATCAGAAAAAGAGTCAAGTGAGAGAGTCTGTAAGTTAAAAACCACCACAAACACCCCTCTGAAGGGCCAGCAGGGAGCTGGCACTCGCCGATGACAACTCAAGAGAGACGGGATCTGGCGAACGCCAGCGAACCCGTGCACCTGCTAACGCAGTCGCTGCGCTTACGGCCCAGAAAGAGCCCCGCGAGGCACAAAGGCAGCAGATGGCAATACTATTTTCTCATTTCGGAGAAAAACCTGCCTTACATAAATGCCGTTCAGCAATTAACGTGCTCGTATTCCACAAGTCCCATGCTTGCCCAACCCTCAGCTCCCCATAAAGAATAAGGAAGCTCAAGGCAAACGCCCCAACTACGATTTCTTCCCAGGACACGGGCAGAATGAGAAGAGGTATTTACGGGATTTACCTTGATCAAAAAAAGACCAGCTTAGCCAAGTCCCCACGTGGACAGGGTTTTCTTCGGCACTCCTACCCAGCATTACTGAAACGTCAGTCAGACCGACAAAGCTGTCAGCAGCCGCGAAGATCACAATCGCAACGGATTGCGCCCGCGCCACTGCGACTCCTGGAAACGAACACGCTGGGTCCGGGCTTTGACCCCCACACGTAATTAAAACCAAAAAGCGTATCGTCTTAGCTACATTATGATGATTCTAAAATACTTAATTTTAGTTTCAATGCTGATGAAAAAGCACCTGTCTTTCTGATGTCAGTCTTCCACGCTGTACCAGCATACTCATACAAACAACAACCTCCCTTCGCCGGGAACATCTTCCCTTTGCCAGCCTCTATGGCGCTCGGTCACCACCTCCTCATCTTTGTCACCTGGCCTCTTTGGGTTTTAACTGACGGTATTTATAATTTTCTGCTATTGTAGCAATATTAAGGAGCAACACGAATGATCGCGTGTGAAGCAATGGAAAATGCAAACATCTGTTCAAGCATACCGTCTGTACGTCCTGTACGCTTCATGGTAAATGTCATCGGTTTCTATTCCTTCATAAAGGATTAATAACACTGGCAGCAAAGTTTTGGTGTCTCAAACAGCACAATGCTGCCTTGGAAGGTGTGGATCATTACACGGGCACGCAAACACCGTCAGCTACGGGAACACTGCTTGAAAACCCCAAGTTCCAAACCTAAGAACGTAACAGCAAGTTGCACAACTTAAAGAATACGTTATAGGCTCAAGACACATTTAAAGAAAGAAATGACTGCCAACCGGTAAATGTTCCTTTCTTTGGGGTACACAAGTATATTGCTACCTAGTACTGCATTAGCATCTAAGATTTTTTTTTACCTGAAGGAGTTAATACACAGCTTTCTTAGAGAAACTGATGCAGCATTTCCAAGAACTACACTGGCATTTCCCTGAGCTTAGCAATAGCACAACGTTGGGAAATTTTCCAGCACAATTCAAGATGAAAGAGATTCATCACGTAATTTTCTTCAAACATGCATTCATATTACCACCACCATCACATATATTGTCAGCATACAAAGGAGTCACGTTTCCAGGTAACGATGCTAACAACAGCTGCAGCGTAGAACAAAACTTTAACCATCATGACTTTAGGCAAAAGCGTAGCTGAAGTTTAGGCACGAAGGTTACACGTAAATCAGGGAAAAGCTTTGACAATATTAAACCAAGATACTTATGCAGCAAATGTCAGAAAAGGTAAACTTAGAACATCAATTCCCTTGAAGTCACTTAGAAAGCATCTGCTGCTCACTAATCTTATTAAATAAGTTCTTATAGGCAGTCAGCCACATAATGATTAAAATACAAACAAACCAACTGCACAACAAGGGAAAAATAAGCTTACTGGGGAAGCAGCTTGCGCTAGGTCTCTGCCCACTGAGAGCACAGCTGTAGGTATTTGTTTTGGGCAGACAGCAGCGAAACGGGACACGTTGCAAATCCTACAGCGTACCCCAGCTCCACAGACTTCAAACAGAATAAGATAGGTATGAATGAACCACAGCCAAAATACGAATACACGTAACAAGAATCATCGTATGATCTTACTAGAGAAATGACTAAGATTTCTCAGAACATCAGTATGTTTTCCACCTCCTGCCTTACTGTGATTTGGGGCAAGATACTTCTCTTGCTCTTAAAAAAATCTGGGAGGGGGGAGAGGAAGGAAAGGCAGCAGATGCAGCCAACAGTAAATTCTTGTTAGCAATACAGTGCTGCAGCTCAGGATGGAACATAAGTAACTGTAAATACAAACCTCCCGGTGGTAGCCAACAGGAAACAATTCTCACGTTCTTTTCAACAGCTATTTCAAAAAACACACAAGCAAAGGTAGGCTTTTTATACTGCTCTTACAGTAGATTTTTTCTATACTTTATATATTTTTAATATACTTTATACGTATTTTTATATGTTTTTCCTAGCAAGTGAGAGCTTTCTCATCGTTCTCTTTCCACTGTTTTACTGTTCTTCTGGAAAGTGATACAGGCAGGAATAGAAAACCAGACAGCTTAGAAAAGCCAAAGCGAGGGAAGAAAGAAGATACCTTCAGTGGAAGATTTTGCAAAGAATCAGATCCTAAGCTTCATCAGCTGTTACAGGACAAAACATTACTGAGGGTGGTGGAAAGAAAAATGTGTGGATACATCATCTGGAAGACATGCAGAAATGTTAAGTGTCAGGCTCCAGACAAAAGAATAGAAAGAAAAAAATCATAAGGGCAGAGCACTAATTCAAATTAGCCAAATAAGGAAGTATAACACAATAAATGAACGAGGTAAAATATAAATTAAATTATCAACATATAAAACCCAGAACATTCAGGGTCATAGATGATACTCATGACCTACTAGCTTAACACGGTTCGACTTCCTTAAGCACGTCTTGTCAGAGAACAACTCAAGATATCAGTTACAAAACCAGGCTACAGCAACAAAGCACAGATAATATTTATCAGATCAAATCATTTTATCAGGTAATAGAAAACTTCACCTCTGCCAAAATTTATTTATTGCCACTTTTTTTTTCTTATTTTAAACTGCATAAAGCAGCTTTAAATGTTACAGGCTTGCCTGGTATTATGAAATACTTAAAACATTACATGACTTAATCATCATAGGAGACGATAATAATTGAAAGGTCTCTTTTTAGCACAAATTCTCAATATCCAAAGCTTGCGCAGAAATCGATTACAAACACCACTGTTGTTTGAAGAAGATTAACAACCTGTGACCCTTCAAATTTTGGCCCTCGACCACAGGCATTTAATAATTTTTAAAACAAGACATGAACTTCCCTAACACTATATTTATCTATGAATTGCTCTCCCAGTTATTAACTGTGCTTCAGAATATTCTTCTCTTTAGGTTATAAAAGAGATGTCTGAGTCAGATGTTGTGGGAGTTAACAAGACAGCATCCTTGTCTTCTACAGGTTATTTGAAACTCTACTGGCAAGTTAGACCTTATCCCACAAAACCAACACTGAATCTCAAGCAGGAAGTTCAAAAGAGAAAGAAGAAGCCAAGAGAAAAACGCCTTTATCACAGAAACTCATGCTTGAAGCATGACCCAAAAGGTCTTCGGAGACAGGAAGGTGGGGATGTTAACCTGCCGACGAGGTATTCACAACCTTGTAACCTTCGGAAGCGACCCGAAGTTAGGGAACGCTTCTGGGGAATATCAAAAATCAGCCCCAAGAACCACCACCAGCCAACGCTCCACGGACGAACGGCAAAGAGGGGAGCGGCCCGAGACTACAACCCGTCCGGGGTCCCGAGGTCGGAGCGCGGTAGGGAGAGCCAGGGAACCTCGCCCAGCAGAAACCGACTCTACCGCCCGGGACCTCGTTCCGCCAC